GTAGAATTACATCAGTCAACTGGCAATGTCCGAAGAATGTCCTCAGAAGATGAGTAAGAATTCTGGAATCTGCAACATCAAGATTTCTTGATCCTGAAGGGGTGCAAAATTAGAAAGCCCCATATGGGTCATCATTATTCAAACCATCCCCCCAAATACATATCACTACTTTGTCGACAATCATTTCATACCCTGCAGAACTCAGAGCAAAATGTTAATTCTTCTCTTCCTCTTCCATTGGTCCATAAAATCAGATGTCTCTACTGCCTCCAAGAAATATTGACTCATTATCGGTAGATTAAAAAAAAAATCTGGCTGTCAATTCTTTTATTAAAACCCCCAAATTAACGTGAGGGACAGAATCAAATCTCTCTCTTCAGTCATCTACAAAATGTTTTGGTGTACTCCAAATCTTTTGCACAACATGCTGAATTAGACCAGTGATGGCAAACCTTTTAGAGACCGAGTGCCCAAACTGCAACCCAAAACCCACTTATGCATCGTCGGGTGCCGGGTGGGTGTGGCCCATTGGGTGGGCGTGGCTGCGATGGTAATGGCAGACTGGGTGGGACTAAAAAATTCCATCAATCAATTCCAACTTTGCAAGATCTTTTTTTTTCCCTGAGAAGTTGAAATTGATTGATTGAACCTTTTCTTTTTTTGTACATGGCGGCTGAAGCCTAAAGTGAAAAGATTTTATAAAACCCAGCTGAAGGCCTAGTACTGGGGCAATGGTGCACGTGCCCACAGAGAGGGCTCTGAGTGCCACCTCTGGCACCCGTGCCATAGGTTCGCCACCACTGAATTAGACCCTTTAAGACTCTCTCTGGTTAGTTTCAACTTTGGTTAGCTTTCTGTGGTTTAGCGTTTTGTACAAACCCTACTCGCTTAGTTGGTTTATAATTCAGAGTTTTTTAAGATCTCAGAAAAGGTTTCATTCAAAGACTAAGTTAAAACTATTAGCTGAGTACAGCTGGGGAGCTCAAACTGGAAAGTACCGATTTCTATTTTTATTGCTGAATTTTGAAATCAGGTTTCCAAATGAAAAATATCTAATGTGATATAAATGCAAGTCCATGCAATACAATGCTAATCCAACACAAAATATATGCAAGCAATTGATCAAAGATGTTGATTAAAAATTTCGAGCAGCACACACAAAGATGATCAACAATAACGTTTTTAAAATACATTTGCAGTAGGAAATCAATCACTGAACCATGGAATAATGGAGTTGGTAAAGATGCATTAGAAGAGGATAGAAAAGTAGCAGAGAAAATGAATGAATGTTTTGCTTGTCTTCATGTGGAGGACACAAGACGGGCATCCACACCTGAGCTGATTTCTTGAGGAGGAAGACTAGACCAGGGATGGCGAACCTTTTAGAGACCGAATGCCCAAACTGCAACCCAAAACCTACTTATGCATTGTCGAGTGCCGGGTGGGTGTGGCCCATTGGCTGGGTGTGGCCCATTGGGTGGGCGTGGCTGCAGTGGTAATGGCAGACTGGGTGGGACTAAAAAGTTCAATCATTCAATTCCAACTTTGCAAGATCTTTTTTTTTCCAGTTGAAATTGACTGATTGAACTTTTTTTTTTTTTTTTGCACATGGCGGTGGAGGCCTAAAGCAAAAAGGTTTTGTAAAAACCAGCTGAAGGCCTAGGACTGGGGCGACGATGCGCATGCCCACAGAGAGGGCTCTGAGTGCCGCCTCTGGCACCTGTGCCATAGGTTCGCCACCACTGGACTAGACTGTTTGCAACAAAGTGAGGTACAGTTTTGTTGTTTTTTTAAATGTAGCTAAGTTTTGCTGTATTTGCTAAATTAGGCAGATCCTGGTTACCCATCATGATATCACTATCAATTGTAATACATTGCTATGTCCTGTTCTGTCCTGTCCTGCTCTGTTCTGTTCTGTTTTGATTTTATTCCAATATTTAACTTTGATTTTGGTCTGTGACCATAATAAAGATTGATTTTAAACTGCAACAAAAAAGAAGTAACAAAACATGAAGTCATAAATTAAATGGAGAAACTAAAAACAAGTTCTCTGAGACCAGATACCATCCTCCAAAGAATTTTTGATATGAAATTGACATTCTTTTCACAAAAATATGTAACCTATCTAATTTTACAATCTGTTTCCAGGGATTGGAAAAGAGCCTCTGTGACTGTGGTTTTTTTTTAAAGGGATTAAATAACATTAAAAAGAAACTCTGGGCTATTTTAGCTAACAACAGTGCTTAGAAAAGTGGCTAAAAATATTATGGAAGAGAAAATAAGGAAATTTCTAAACAGTTTTGCTGGGAAGGAACCAGTGTGGCTTCCGCAAAAGTTAAGTTTTGACTTACAACTTCCAGACTTGTTGATGTTGTCAACAAGTGTGCAGACAAGAGTGATCAAACAGCTCTTATTTACTTCCAAAACACCTTTGACTCATTTGGTCCCTTCTGACTCAATGATTATGATTATGATGATTATGATGATGATGATGATTATCACCATCATCATCATCGGAAGGCTATCTGACTGAATGTGCCAAAGGTGCTTTTCCAAAAGGCAACTGGATTTTCTCATATATATTTGAAAATGTTTTGCTTCTCATCCAAGAAGCTTCTGAACTGAAGCTGCTTGGTTGAGAAGTGAGATGTTTTCAAAGAAAAAATGAGAAAGTCCAGTTGCCTTTTGGAAAAAGCACCTTTGGCACATTCAATCAGATATTTTATCTTTCTATCTATCTATCTATCTATCTATCTATCTATCTATCTATCTATCTATCTACCTACCTACCTACCTACCTACCTACCTACCTACCTACCTACCTACCTACCTACCTATTCTCAGAAAGAAAGTGGAATGATTTCTTGGTTGTTGGTATTTCTCCTTCCTGCTTTTTACAGAATTCAAGGCAAGCTATCCCAAGATAGTTCCTCCATGAACAGGCTACATCCCATTAGGGGTTGGGTTTTTTTTTGTTGTTGTTGTTTTGGAAAGTACCTTCAGAAAGTACTTTGTGCTTAAGTGTACTTGAGTTCTAAGCCAGTGGTTCTCAACCTTTTTAATGCCGTGACCCCCAACCAGTCGTAAGTCGAGGATTACTCAACTGGTCGTAAGTCGAGGACTACTCATCTGGTGCAGCACCGTTTGCAGAATGGGACTTTTGGCAGGCTCAGCAGGGCAGAGACAGCCTGGACAATTCCTATTGGCTTTTGAAAGCCAGTAGAATTAGACTATTCAAGAAAGTCTATTCTATTGGCTTTCAAAAGTCAACAGAATAAAAGGGAGTAGCACAGCTAAGGAAAAGGGGGGGGGGGAAATGGCGGACTGCGTTGTTTGGCCACCCCCATGAAATGTCATTCAACCCCAAATGGGGTCCCTACCCACAGGTTGAGAACCACTGTTCTAAGCAATCTTCCTGGATTCTTCGAACAACTATGAAAGATGGATCTTCATTAGCTCTCAGTCCTGCTAACGGACTGTGCCAAGAAAGCCATGGCTCCAGCTCAGTGTGGCAACATCGGGATGCAAAACATGGTTTGTACTAATGCTGGCCCTGGCTGGCTTGGAAGATATGCAAAATCTAACATGTATTCAGAAAACAGCGTCCATGGATCACATAGTGAAGGTCCTGGATGTTTGATTTTACAATTGCTACATTTCTTGTAAATAAAGTATTTAAACATGGAGTACATATAAGTAGTCCTCAATTTACGACCACAGTTGGGATCAGAATTTCAGTTGCTAAGAAAGCCCAATTTTCCTTTTTTTTGCCATCTTTGTTACACAAATCACTGCATTTGTTAAGTGCATCACAAATCCAGTTTCTCACATTGACTTTGCTTATCTGACACCAGCTGAGAAGGCCCCAAATGGCGATCACACGATGCGGCAACCACCATAAATATAGGAGGGTTGTCAAGTGTCCAGGTTTTGATCACCTGACTGTGAGATGCTGCAATAGTCATAAGCATGAGAACCGGTAGTAAGTCATTTTTTGTAACTTCCAGTGGTCATTAAGCAAATAGTTGTAAGTCAAGTACTACCTGTATTTAAAATCCCTAGTATGAACATCACAGTGAGGGGAGAAGGGACAGCTTTTGTGTTTGAAGGCCTGACAGAAGAAGTTTGTGTGATGTTGTGAATTTTATCAAGTACCCAGCAGTTTTTAGCATTTACTATCTCGCACAGAGATTTTCTATCTTGCATTTCCTTCATCACAGGAACCCCCCCCCCCTTAAATATCTTTTGGGGCCACAGACCCCCAAAGACTCAACTCAAGTTATAAATCATAACATTTCTTCAAGCCTTTGCGGACCCCCTGGGATGACATTGTCTCCCCCCCCCCACAGGGTCTGAGGACCACCGATTGAGAACCAGCTGCTCTAGCACTAGCATGGGTGCTTACTCCTCAGAGGAAATATAACACACGTGACACACCAGGACTCCCCCGACCTGATCCTTTCCAGCCCAGCAGGACTACAAGTCCCATCAGAGCCAGAGCGGCTGTGGATGATGCAACCCGGCGTGTGGGAATTTGTGTTTGCGCAAAGGTCTGCGTGGAACGGGAGGGCTACGGCGGTGGGACTGGAAAGGTCCCCGGACTCCGCGCACGGAGGTACAGGAAGAGGCAGTAATCGGCTTTTACGGATTAGAGGAGGCCCGTCTGATTCTACGGGGTGGGGAGGGGGGGAAGGGGGGGCTTTCTGGGGTCCAGCACCGGAGAGCCCTGTAATAATAGGAAACATCTCAAATGAAACATTTGCGACAGACCAACTCCTCCCTTCCTGTCTTCACCGCCCGCCAGCCCGCCAGCCAGCCTGCCTCCCCCCCCCCGGCCGCATTTCTCTGCTGCCCGCCCCGCCCCTTTTCATTGTCCTCCCCTTCTGTTTATACACAAAGACCCCCATCCTCCCCTTTCCTCTTTCTTCCCCTCTCGGGCTCCGTCCTCCCTTCGCTTTCGATCTTTCCTCCCCTCCACGTTCCTTCCTTCCTCTCTTCTCTCCTCCCCCCCCCTTCTCTCCCCCCCCTCTCTCTTTTTCTCTCTCCCGTCTCCCTTCTCCTCCTCTGAAAGGGTTTTAGCAGCCGGGCGGAGGCGGAGTTCGGCGGCAGAGGATTAGAAGTGGATGCGCTCAGAGACCGGCAGAGATTTCTTCTCCCCCCCCCCCCACCACCACCCCATCGCCCGCCCGCTCCTCCGCCGTGCGCCTTCGCCTCCACCGCGTCTTCTGGGAAAGCAGCCGAAGGAAGAAGAAGGAGGAGGAGGAGGAGGCAAAGGATCGGAGCGCCCCAACCCTTCACCTCCAGCAAGAACCCTGACTCAGATCCGCCTAGATCCCTCCCTTCCTTTGGACAGGCAAAAAGGAAAAAAAAAAAAAAAAAGGGAAGAGAAAGCGAGGCGGCTGAAGAAAAAAAAAAATAAAAAAAAATCCCCTCCATTCCGAGCCAACGGGACCGGCTGGAGCCAGACGAGCTTCCTTCCAGCCATGGAGCGAGCGAAGGATCTAGTAGTCTCTCGCCTGCCTCGGGCTTCCAAGATCCAGCTGGCTTGAAAGCGTACGTACGCAGGGATCCTTTGCTTTGCTCCCTGCTTCGAAGGATCGCGGCGGGGGGGGGCGGAATTCCTGGCGTCTAGGGGGGATCGAGGAACCAGGGGCTTCGGTTGGGGGTTCTCCTCAGTTGGTGTGTGGGATCCCCGTCTGCTCAGCCTTCAGATCCCGCCTGATTTCCCTCCGGATCTTTGAAGCGTTCCTCGAGAGGCGGGAAGCGGAGGGAAAAAAAGGGTCTTCTTTTTGGCACTCCCTCGCCTGGATGTACAGTACACGTGTTGCTCCCTTTTTGACGTTTCTACGGATCCAGCCCTAATTCTCCGGAAGAGTATTCGCCCCCCCCCCCGCTCCCTCAAAAGGGTTGGTTTTTTTTTTTTCATCTTCTGCATCGCTTGTGCATATCTGGGGACGGTAGGGACACGCCAACGTTTTTAAGAAGATTATTTTAAGGCTTCTTTTCCAAATTCCTAGAAGGATCAGTTCTTGGAAGTCTCTAGTTGCACGCCATTCTTTTTCCGGGAAAATTACCAAGCGGCAATTCATCTTTTGGGCTCCTCGATTCTAAGTGAAGACTGGTCTTCCCCATCGGCTGGTTCGGTGCCTTGGCTTTCCAGAATATAAAAGTTGGCTTGTGGTACCAAGCAAGGCGCGCTTAGTGTTGCCTTTTGTTCCATCAGTGGTTTTTGTAGATCTTTGAACAGCTGGAATTAACGTGAAATTCCGAAGTTTGGATTCTGGTAATTTTTAAATTATATTTATCTTGTTGACCTTCCTCTCGCAAGCCGCTTCCTGTCCAACTTTTGGGGTTCGGACCCACCCAGAATCTCTTTTCTTTAACACGTTCCGTTTCATCCAAATTTGCTTTTGAAAATTCTAACGTTTATCACTGTTACTACATTTCTTGTAAATACACCGAAGTCTGGTTTCTGCCAATGTGCCAGTTATGCGTTCTTGAAACCCAGTCTGGCTTCAGATTAAAAACATGTCCCCTCTATTACTCTAGAGGTCTGTGCAAACATTTGTGTCTGAAGTGGCAATTTTATTTAAACAGACAACGAGAAGGAAATTCACTCTATTCCTCCTGGGTCACTGTTGTTTGCCATTAGATTTCCTCTCCCGGGGTGAACAGCCTTCTCTATACTCTTGCTGCAATCCTATACACCCCTTGCCTGTGAGTTTATTCTCACTGCATGCTTATTTCTGAGCTGGTGGCATAACACTGCACTGTAAATAAACCTGCCCCATTGTCATCTTGCAATATCCCTTGCCTCTTCATGTCACTGCACAAGGCTGTTTTCATCTAGATTGCTTACTCAGGCATAACAAGGTTCCTTGCATTCTTTTTTATTATTATTAACAGTCATAAAGAAAGCTTAGATTAGAACACTGATAGCAGTACAAAACACATGAAAGGAAGCTGTTTTTTAAAATCCTCTATAGTTCCTCTTCCCTTTTCCATGCTCTTCCACCCCTTTAACTGCCTTGAGCTGGCCATCAAGACCGGGGTCAAATCTTGTAAACAAACCTAATCACCTTTGCCTCTGCTTCCTTGCAAGGATGTCTGGATTCATTGTGTAAGGAGCCGGGTGTAGAACTGTCACCTCCCCAACACACCAGAGACAGTGTGTGTGACATGAGTTGGAAAGAGTGAGCAGATGAGGAGAGGGAGAAGAAAGGGAGAAAAACATCAAAGGTTGAGCCTGAAGGAAGCCTTCTCTCTCCCTCCCTCCCTCCCTCCCTCCCTCCCTCCCTCTCTCTCTCTCTCTCTCTCTCTCTCTCATAGCTAAAGGGACTTGACGTTGCAATGTCTTCTGACAGATCATCTTCCTCTTCCTGATCCTTCAAGCTACTCTTTCCCATTTTCTTTTTTTCTGAATGTATTCTTTGTACTCTCCCACCTTTCTGTCTCCTTTTCCAATCCAGCTCTCCCTCATTTCACCTCCCATCTGTCACTTCCTCCCATCTTCCTCTGATCATTTTTTTATCTCTGAGCCTCCATTTTCTGCTACTCTAATATTGTCCTTCCTCTCCTTTCCAGCCACTGCCCATTTCTCTTAACCCCCTTCTGCTCATTGCCAATTCTGTTCCAGATCCTTTTCTTTCTCCTTCTTCCCTCCCTCTTTTATTCCATTCTTTTCCTGGCCTCTTTTGTTTTTGTGTTGCTTTTAAGTTGCTCTCCCCAGCCACTTTCCCCCCCCCTCTGTTTTTTCCCTTGCTTTGTGCCTTCTCACCCCCTGAACATAACCCACCCAATCTTTTCTTTTCTTTTTTTTCACTCCTTTTTTTCTCCCAGATTTCCCTCTTGTTTCCTGCTGTCTCACACCTCCAGCAAAGATGTCTTCAACTCCTCCGCTGCCTGAATGGAAACTCCAGTTACTGGAGCGTCGGCGAAAGGAGGAAGAGGAAGCTCGGCGGCGGGAACAGGAGCAGCAAGACCGCATGGCTAAGATGCCAGCTTGGAAACGGGAGATCATTGAACGACGCCGGGCCAAGCAAGGTTCCAGCACGTCTTTTTCTGAACCAAACGGACCAGGAGAAACGGAGAGTGGCCCAACCTCTGTGCCTGCTGCAACGTCATCCTACCAAGAGGGGGAGCCAGAGAGTTCGGTGCTACAGGAGAAGATTGGCCCAGTTCACCAAAATCCTTTCATTCAGCTGGAGAAGCGCCGCCATCATCAGGAGTCTGGCCCTCCAGAAAGTGAAGTTGCGAATACCAAAGCCAAACAAATAGTGGATCTGTGTGGGCAGATTCCAGGCGTCCGGACCCTGCGGGCAGACAATGTCATTATAATAGAAACAGCCCATGGGGCACCACCGGCGCAGCTGGCTAGCGACCGCCACTCGGGAGAAGCCAAATCAGGCAGCATGGAGTCCCTCAATGAGCTGTTGGCCCGCCGTGGGGGCAGCGTGACCGAGATCCGTGCAGGCGAGGTCTTCATCGTCAAGTCGGCTTTGAGCCGCAGCGTGGAGGATCTCAATGCCGTGGGCCGAGCTGAGCATCGGGCATCGCTGCCCGAGCAGCGCCAAGGGCGGGTGAGCAAACTGCTCAGCCGGTTCAGCCAAGAGGACGGTGGAGGGGTGGTGATGCCATCACACCCGGTGAAGTCCCTCAGCACTGAGAATTTAACTGAAAGCACCTTTGGAGGAAAGAAGCCAGCCCATTCTCCAGCAGACTTCACCTCATCCCGGCTGCCTTGCGTCAGTCGCCTCCCCAGCCCTCCCTGCGACCTCCCGGGACTGACGTCCCCAGGGCCTTGCACTGTGGCATCTTATCGAAGTCAATTTGAAGCTAAATCAAGCGGTGGGGAGGGCTGGCCAGATAGTCCTCCAAGGCGCTCACCCACTGGGAAAAGATGGGGAAGAGAGGCCGTGTCCCCAGACAGAGGACCCAGGGTGGAGAGCAGTGATTTGGAGGCGGCAGTGGAAAGCCACCCAGCTGAGGAGGATGTCCAGGGCAAAGCCTTGGCCAACCTGCACCTCCACTCCAGGAACTCCTTCATGGTTGTGCCACTGCGGGCTTCAGCCTCCCCTCCCCCAGAACCCAAACAGGAAGCCAGCCCTTCCCCTCCTTCAGCCAAGCCCCCAGTCCCCACTTCCTGCTCTTCACCCAGCTGTGAACAACTTCTCCCGGACGCTGTTGAGGAGCCGCCGCCCGAGGCCGAGGCCATGAGACGCAGCAGCAACAGCAGAGTTAAGGAGGACATCAGGATGGGAGGCCTGGGCCGGGTCTCATCCCCCCATCCAGCAATGCAGCGTCGCAGTGGCAACACCATCACAATCAATCCTCGGAAGGCCTCCGTGTCACCTGTCATGGCTGTGGAGAATGGCATCGAGAGCTCTCCGCCACTGGCTACGATGCCCATGAAGAAACGCTACCCCACAGTGGAGGAGATCCAGGTGATTGGGGGCTACCTCTCCCTGCAGAGATCTTGTCTTGCAAAGAATGACCGACATCGGAAAAAGGTAGGCAAGGTGCTCCTCCAAGCCCTTCTGGTCAGCTATTTTGCTATTTGCAGCTATTTGCATTTTGTAAACATCTGCACTTTTGCATTTGTCTTGTTCTATGGCCTTTGGGTGGCCACAACTTTTTCAGGTGCTTGCTTGTTACGCCCTCCACAACCACCATCCTGTGATTGCTATCACCTTTGCCTGCATTCTTGTTTCTTTATTCCTTTATTTCTCTGACGCTGTGGGAGATATTCACCTCAGAAAGTGAATATTTCTAGAACAGTTCAATTTCTAGAAATTCTTGTTGAAGGATGCAGGATTCAGCTCAAAGCTGGTAACCAAACTACTCTTTTGCCTTATTAGAACTTGATATTTTTAATGTACTGTAATACAAAACTTTGGCTTTTGTAAGGCAGATCCCTATTCCTCCCCTTTTACAGATGAGCAAATGAAGCAAAGAAAATTGAGTTTGTTCTTGGTTGGCACACAAGTTCAGGACACACAAGGCTTTAAATCCCTGTCTTTCACAGTCTCAAACTCAGTGCTTTAGCCTACGGTCCCTAACTTTCCATTGACAATGTACTTGTAATATTAACCTTTCCTTTTATGCTAACTACAATAGTGCAAAATATTTTTTTGTCTGTTGAAAGGTCCCCAGATACAGAGCAATTTCACACCCTGCCACACACAGTAAAACAATATCTAGTACCTCTGATCACTTGTTCTGCAGAGGTCAGTGGAGTAGAGTAGAGTAGAGTAGAGTAGAGTAGAGTAGAGTAGAATAGAAGCTGGAAGGGACACTGGACGTCTTCTAGTCCAGCCCCCTGCTCAAGCAGGAGAACTTATATCATTTCAGACAAGTGACTGTCTAGTCTCTTCTTAAAAACCTCCAGTGATGGAGCACCTATTCAAGGATTCTGTGAGGTGTTCGTATGGAAGAAGCCATACAGAAAACCAGCACCACCATCCCAAAAATTCATGAATGATTAAATTTTCATTCAGACACACTGCCTTTTTCTTCTTCTGTGCAAGTTTGTCCCCAGCTGCTCTGTGTTTATCTCTTTCCACAGTTCTTCCTTTTAATTTCCTCCTTACCTTGAGTTGTCAGCAATACTCAGAGGAAGACAGCTATATCCTGTAAATTGCATTAAGGTTTCCTAATGTACAATTAAAAAAAAAAACATGCTGGATTTGAGGCTTAATCCATACTTCTTGGTAGGGATGTTTTTATGCAAGCTGTAAAATACACTTTGGAGCTTCCTTTGTAGGGTTTCAGGGTTCACACAATGCCTAATCAAAATGAAATAACTAATATAGGCAGGTAGAATTATTTTATTCATTTGCAAATTACTTTTGCAGGCCAATTTTGAATGGCCTTTAGACATATGTGATATTTATAGACAGACCTCAGGAGTGGTGACTAAAAGCCAGCTCCTTTGTTGTGTTGACTGCATTTTCCAAGCACATTTCCAGAATACAAATCTTGGCTTACTTCAAAGAGTGATCAATATCGTAGTTGTAGTTAATATTCAACTGCTTGTTCATCCGAAATTTCATCAAGTGTTGGCTGTGACCTCTTGAAAGCAATTCCTGCTAAAAAGTCACTCGTTCCTATTATGGAACGAGACATTAAGGGGACCTCTTCTCCAATGCATTTATTATTGGGTTGTGTGCTACTAAATCTATATAGATTCACAGTGATTCATGGCACATGAACAAACTTACAATATAATTTTATTAGTTAATTCTAAACCAGCAACAAAATCATACATATAATTCATATAATGACACTCAACCACTTTACCATTTTTTCTGAGCAATATATACCTTAACACTCCCACACGTGCTTGTACAAAATGATAGAATAGAATAGAGACCTTATCTAAGAAAAGAAAAGTTTGCATTTTCTGAGGAGTATGTCAAAGATGAGAGTCTTTTGAAGCTAGAATACTTTTTTTCAACTAAATATGACATTCAAGCACTGATTTTCACATATTTTGCTTAGAACCAAGCATTGGGGTGGAGACTGAGGTCTAGAAACTCTGTTTGCTCTTGAGCATGGCAGGATAAAGAATTAGTGAGGAAGGGTAATTTGACTTCCACCCTACAGTGTCTCCCCTTAACTTTAGTTTCCTCCTATCATCTGCTTGCTAAGTGCTTGCTTAGAAACTTTCCCAATTTTCAGAGGAAAATATGGTAAAATATGAACAGAAGAAGAACTAAACACCTGCGTACCATTACTTTCTATCGGCCGGTTCTCCCATTGAAGATCGCAGCACTGCTTTAAAGTGCCTGTGAAAGTCTAAAGCAGAGGTCCCCAACCTTTTGGGCACCAGGGACCGGTTCCACAGAGAGAGGTTTTTCCGCAGACCAGAGGGGGCGTGGTTTTGTGTGCTGCCTGCATCCCACGGATGGGGCTTTGCTTGTTTGTGTGGATTGGTATGCCGCAGCCCGGTACTGGTCCACGGACCAGGAGTTGGGGACCCCTGATCTAAAGTTTCTTGGCACAGCACACTATTAAGCATTTTGTTTTTCCCTCAAAGCGTATATGTGCAGATCAGATGTGTTAATTTTTAGGATGATGTATAGAGTGGGCCTGTTACCAATTTTCCTGCCCTCAAAATGAAAGTGGATTAGCAGGAAACGTGTGTAGGTGCCAGTCGGACTATTTAGTAAGAAGATTGATTGAGGTGTAGGGCTGGCAAAGCAGAAGTATATAAAAAGTCAGATGAGGAGAGAATGTAAAGAGGTCCCTAGGGTAAGCGATATAAAGTCAGAAGAAGGCATGGTCAGAGCAGTGAGCCAAGGAATGCTCTGTAGCATTTACTTTTTAATGGAAATAAGGTGAAACAGAGAAGATCCACTATGAGACTTCCAGATAGAACTTAAGATGGGAAAAGCATCCTCGTGTTGAGGTTCCGTTGTGAGTTTGAGAGACAAAGGGATGTCTGATCATTTGCACTCCCTGTCTGCAAAAGGCATTTAGTGGAGTGAAGAGCACCGTCTTAATTAGCTGGAGATTGTATTAGCATCAACAAAGATTTCCTCAGTTTTCATCCACGTCTGGTTGCCCTCCGTTAATTGTACAGGAGAGATAGATCTCTATGTTTTTGGGATAATATGACATTCCCACTAACTTGTTGTGTCTATGGAGATTCTCAGTCATCCAGGTCAAGGTTATCTCAAAGGTGCTTTTTCAAGAGGCAACTGGACTTTCTTATTTTTCTTTGAAGACATTTCACTTCTCATCCAAGAAGCTTCGACTTTCTTATTTTTCTTTGAAGATGTTTCACTTCTCATCCCAGAAGCGTCTTCAGAGCTGAAGAAGCTTCTTGGATGAGAAGCGAAACGTCTTCAAAGAAAAACAAGAAAGTCCAGTTGCCTCTTGAAAAAAGCACCTTTGAGATGTTAAAGTGTTGTGTTTAGCAACCTAAGAATCAGAATAGATCTGGAAAGGAGCTTCAAGGTCATCTAGTCCAACCCTCTGCTCAAGCAGGAGATCCTGTACCATTTCAGACAAGTGGCTGTCCAGTCTCCTCTTAAAAACCTCCAGTGATGAAGCACCCACAACTTCTGAAGGCAGGCTGATCCACTGATTAATTGTCCTCACTGTTAGGAAAGTTCTCCTTAGTTCCAGATTGCTTCTCTCCTTGACTGGTTTCCATTCATTGTTTCTTGTCTTGCCTTCTGGTGCTTTGGAAAATAAGTTGACTTCTTCTTTCCGGCAGCCCCTCAAATACTGAAATACTGCTATCATGTCCCTCCTAGTCCTTCTTTTGTCTAGACAAGCTAAACCCAAATTCTGCAACCATTCTTCTTATGTCCAACCTAGGTCCAAGCATGTCCAATTGACTTCTTCCTTGAGCATCAGTCCAACGAACGTGAGCCTGAGGATGCAGAATTTGCTGCCCCAAGTTCACTGTGTGAAACGGGTTATTGGTCAGGCTGGCCTCGAGTACATCATGGTACTATTTGCACACACATTTCCACAGAAGTCTTAAGTCCTCCTCCACAAAAGCCTTTTCATCCTAGCAAGTCTACCCCATGTTCTCGGGTCACCAGATATGCCCCAAGCCGAATAGAGGCAGTCTGTCTTTTCAGTCCATCATTAGACAGTTATTTAGTTAAATCATTAGCAATTGAAGGAATCTCCGAGTCTTTTTTGTTTTCTGCAGCTGGCTTTAAAAATGCTGATCATTTTCTAGCTCCTTGTTGTAAATATCTCTCCCCCCCCCTTTTTAGGCTTATGAACTGGATTCCTTCTCAATCCTTATTTTTATTGCCAAGAAAATGGCATACACATGTTGATGAAGTCACTGGAATCAAGCAGGACTCAAAGGAATATAATATAATACCCATGATGATCAGTGAATGAAAAGGAGGTGGGGTGCCCAGAGTAACTCGCTAGCAATTTAACTAAATATAGGCCTTATGCAGACCTTTTGTCAGCTTTTCATTATAACTTATTAAGGAGATCCCTTCTGGTAATTAGTTACCACTGGAACACGGGGTTCTTCTGTGTATTATACTACACTCAGTTAATAAGTGTAAATGGATTTTAAGATTCTTGGCTTTTCAAAAGGAACTTTGAGCATTATATTTAGAAGACAGGGAAGTGGTTGGAGAGAAAGATTTGGTCATTTTAAGGAGTACAGTTAGGCATATTCCAGGCTAATGGCTCAGGGTCTTGAGTTTCTTGGAGATCACTTATCAAACACAGAAAATCAGAAGTCCAGGTAGTTCAGATGAATAGATACAGGTTTATTGTATCCTGAAACTGTATAAGAATCTGAACTACTAACAGTCAAAGTTGGTGGTAGATAAGAGTCAAGGCAGTGATGGGATTCAAATACTTGAACATCTGGTTCTCTGTGTGGATGTAGGCCTGGGCCTCCGAGGCCTAGAATGGACTTCTAGAAGTGACATCCATGCACTTCCTGTGGGAAGTTCTAGGCCTGGGAGACCTCCAGGCCTCCGAGGCCTAGAATGGACTTCCAGAAGCAGCATGGGTTCAG